CTCTGCAGACACAGATGCAAGACAAAAAAAGAGTATAGAGTATGTACAATTCAAAAACAAATATTTATCAATGTGTGGTGGTGTTTTCTGGGTTGACTTAGCAGTCATTAATTAAACTCGGGCAGATGCCCACGGTGCGTGGTGAAAGCTTGGGAGTAGATGTACAGGTTTTCCTTACTTTACGCTGTAGATGCGGTCCAAAAAAACAAAACACAGGGCGCACAAAGCGAAACAGCACGAGACATCTGCATGCCGACAAACGCATACAGTACACACAATATTGCCCCACCTCCAACCACACAGAGCCGCATGTGAGCGAATTCAAACTGCGTACGAGCGGATTTTTGGTAGAAATGGATTAGCCGCATATGCAGTGTCAAATCGCACAAACTGAGCCTGCATGAAGCCAGGGAAACCTGTACTCACGATGCGGCCCAGCCCGGAAAACCGCACTTGGAATGTTTGTTTAACACGTAGGCTTTCGCGACCAATATTATTCATAATAAAGGTTTTTGGGTTAGATCGCGTTATTTATAAATGTGTCGTAACCCTCCACCACCCGACACGGCCAATCATCAAAAAAAAGTGTCACGTTGACAAAAGATAAATAATTCACTACTTTAGCCCACCGGTGTGTTGGAGAGTGAATCCACAACATTTACAGTTTGAGTACGACGTTTCGCTGGTAATTACATCGAGCATCATTCACAAGGTGTACTTGCTAAACATTAGATTTGCTCTAAGCCTAATTTCTGTAATATTTACCGAGACAATAAGTATTAATGCTCTGAGTTTTATACGATGAAGGCAAAATAATACACGTGAGTGTGAAAGTATCGTTTACACACCTGTTAAAAAATGTTTCGGCTATCAATGAATCAACATTTTCTATTAAGATCGTATAAGCTAGTTAGAGATACACTGTTTATACCAGACACTCATGAAAACACGAGCAAATTGCTCCTTTTCATGATTCTCACAGAAACTACAAATGTATATCTAGCAACAGCAGCAGCAAGATCATTGAGACTTGTTCGAAATGACTTTGGGATTATAATACATGTTGCACTTAAGCACTCAATTCTATCAAGTGAAGGGAATTTAATAAATGATAAAAGTTATTGCTAGATTTATTTAACAAGCAATGAATATAAACATGATAGCGTAGGCCGTGTACTGCCTGATAATTATTAAAATTATTTCAATTAAGCATGAAGGGTCTTTATTTCACCTAAACACTCAGTATGCATTGTTGTATAATCTTTATTTTTTTAACCAAACATATTTAATGCATGGGAATAAATCTAGCATTTGCTAGGCTTCTCTTCTGACTAAGATATGCATGCACATACACATTAAATTATCTGGATGTCACTGGAGACTCCTGGACATTTTACCACATCATCACGTGTGGCCCATAGAAAAAAATAGCTGCTGTTTGAAGCAACCACACAATATTGGGCGCTCTCAGATCATTCATAATAATATATATCCACATGTTGAAATGTATAATATAATTTGAATGGAAACATGGCTTACGAATACAAGTTGTAAACAGACCACTATATGCTAGACAGATAATTGCAATGCTTGTTTACATTACAGCAAAAATACATCTGTAACTATTACATACATATTGAACACCAACTACTTCAACATAGCAATGTCCTTAGGCTGATTAGAAGAAACATCATTGAGCTGTCAAGTCTTAGACAAGATAAATACCGCGGCAATTTTCAACAAGTTATTAGAGAGTTTTTATATCAATTTAAACTGCCATCCGCATTATTTCCGTTAATATAGATTGGGAAATGTAACTGTGCGACTTCCAAACATAGTGTGTAACTTCAAATAAGAGGGCTCTATCACGAAAGTAATGTTTGAATAACAAATTCCCAGACGGTTGTGTCACGTCACTTACTTTTTTTTACATTAATCCCAAGGGAATGTACAGAATCTTCCTCGGAGATACCAACTGGATAATAGCGGATGTCGAAATGTTTTAATAATGGGACGACAAAAAGAGTCACGTGAACTGAAATGTTATGCTCTGTTATGATAATTAGAAACCGATATCTTTCGCAATAATGTCAGACAATATAGAGCAGTGACACTGATAAGTCTGTAAACATTATGCAGTCGTCCCACTAAATAATGTAATCTGCATTGCAGGGCATGCATCATTTACACAAGAAGTTCAAAGAAAGCTTCGACTCGGCTTTGTGGTCACTAACATTAGTGGTCACCGTAAAATCGTGCTTTTAAAAACCTTTTGACGGCGCTATAATGTGCGCATCGTATTTCTCATGCGTACATATGTGATGTGCAAATGTTGTTGACTGCATTATTATTATTGGATTTAGACACAACTCCTCATTGTAAAATGTCTACAAACTACCCCCAGGGTTGCTCGAGCGTAGCATGGGATGCAACAAAAGTGTCGTTCCGTGTAAATCGGTCACAATGTCAAACAGCCTAAGGACATCGCTTGTTTTGGGGAGCGTTCCATTAGTGCAGCTCGGATTTGCGGGTTCGTTGTGTTACGAGTTAACGTGTTTTCATTTTTTGACACTCCCCCACCCAACTTTTGCAGAAATGGAACACTCCAAAAATAAAGGGGCTGCACATTTGCAGCCCCTAAGCCCTTGTGTACACTTTTATTGAGCAGAATGAAACTCCTAATAACGACTGACGAGTCTGGACGCGTTGTGCATTTATAATTCATCTGCATTACAGTGCACGATTCAAACAGACCCGATTGCTTTCAAGTTCAAGGAAACACCGTGTATTTCTAGGTTTAAAATACAAGCCGCAATATATATTTTTCAATGATACATTGTGGGAAAATTTACATTTGCACATTTCCGTTTTTGTATTTGATATATTATATTATCCGTCTTGATTTTTCATCCCGTATTCTTTAAACTTTATTTCATTAAAACAATATTTGTTGGACTAAAATGTGTTATATATTACGAACCTATTCCTATTATGACTTACTGTTTATTTTTGAAGTGAGGATTACAGCCACATAAAGTTTAAATATTTGTCCTTCAACGTACAAAGGCCTCTTGTTTACAGGATAAGTGCTTCAGATGTTTGTATTTGAGAATAAAATGGTCATATTTTATTTCTTTGGTTTGTTATGTTGCTCCAAAACGTCCTTGGCAATACCCTGTGTTAACATAATGATACAGTATTGAACTTAATAAAGGGTGGTAAAATAGATTTGACGAAAAGGGAAGCTTAATCCTCACTTAAATATGTATGTATGTTGAACTTCTTTTGCACCATACGTAGCTAACCAAGCTAATCGTAGGTGCAGGGGAAGGACATATTGAATACAGTGAGGGAAAAAAAGTATTTGATCCCCTGCTGATTTTGTACGTTTGCCCATTGACAAAGAAGTGATCAGTCTATAATTTTAATGTTAGGTTTATTTGAACAGTGAGAGACAGAGTAACAACAAGAACATCCAGAAAAGCGCATGTCAAAAATGTTATAAATTGATTTGCATTTTAATGAGGGAAATAAGTATTTGACCCCCTCTCAATAAGAAAGATTTCTGGCTCAAAGGTGTCTTTTATACAGGTAACAAGCTGAGATTAGGAACACTCCCTTTAAGAGTGTGCTCCTAATCTCAGATCGTTACCTGTATAAAAGACACCTGTCCACAGAGGCAATCCATCAATCAGATTCCAAACTCTCCACCATTGCCAAGACCAAAGAGCTCTCCAAGGATGTCAGGGACAAGGTTGTAGACATACACAAAGCTGGAATGGGCTACAAGACCATTGCCAAGCAGCTTGGTGAGAAGGTGACAACAGTTGGTGCGATTATTCGCAAATGGAAGAAACACAAAATAACTGTCAATCATAATTTAGCTCTTCTGTAACCTCATGATGGCTGCTTGTGTTGCAACCAAAACGTCGTACACTATTATGTTATTTTATTATTTCCTATTTATACGTGACTTTACCGAAAAAAACAAAGAGTAATCCCTGCAGTCACGAAAGCTTCAAATCAAGTCTGAATTGTCAATCCCCCTCGGCCTGGGGCTCGATGCAAGATCTCACCTCGTCGAGTTGCAATGATCATGAGAACGGTGAGGAATCAGCCCAGAACTACACGGGAGGATCTTGTCAATGATCTCAAGGCAGCTGGGACCATAGTCACCAAGAAAACAATTGGTAACACACTATGCCGTGAAGGACTGAAATCCTGCAGCGCCCGCAAGGTCCCCCTGCTCAAGAAAGCATATACATGCCCGTCTGAAGTTTGCCAATGAACATCTGAATGATTCAGAGGACAACTGGGTTAAAGTGTTGTGGTCAGATGAGACCAAAATGGAGCTCTTTGGCATCAACTCAACTCGCCGTGTTTGTAGGAGGAGGAATGCTGCCTATGACCCCAAGAACACCATCCCCACCGTCAAACATGGAGGTGGAAACATTATGCTTTGGGGGTGTTTTTCTGCTAAGGGGACAGGACAACTTCACCGCATCAAAGGGATGATGAACGGGGCCATGTACCGTCAAATCTTGGGTGAGAACCTCCTTCCCTCAGCCAGGGCATTGAAAATGGGTCGTGGATGGGTATTCCAGCATGACAATGACCCAAAACACACGGCCAAGGCAACAAAGGAGTGGCTCAAGAAGAAGCACATTAAGGTCCTGGAGTGGCCTAGCCTTTCTCCAGATCTCAATCCCATGAAAAAATCTGTGGAGGGAGCTGAAGGTTCGAGTTGCCAAACGTCAGCCTCAAAACCTTAATGACTTGGAGAAAATCTGCAAAGAGGAGTGGGACAAAATCCCTCCTGAGATGTGTGCAAACCTGGTGGCCAACTACAAGAAACGTCTGACCTCAGTTATTGCCAACAAGGGTTTTGCCACCAAGTACTAAGTCATGTTTTGCAGAGGGGTCAAATACTTATTTCCCTCATTAAATGCAAATACATTTATAACATTTTTGACATGCGTTTTTCTGGATTTTTTTGTTGTTATTCTGTCTCTCAATGTTCAAATAAACCTACCATTAAAATTATAGACTGATCATTTCTTTGTCAGTGGGCAAACGTACAAAATCAGCAGGAGATCAAATCCTTTTTTCCCTCACTGTACATACTTTGATATCAATGACCATGGTATTCGAAAGTTCAGTATGTAAAGGTATTTTCTGTGCACACTTCATAACCTACTCTAAAAATAACGTGACCACCCTGCATATTTCGGGCAAACACATTTGAAAAATAAACCCCATTGGTTATATGCAGCTCATAATAATATCACCCCATTACCTTTATACAATGCTGTCTATTGCAATTGTATACATTTTCCAACGATAAACACCTACTCGAGCTTATGTGAAACGTTGCTGATTTGCACATCGCTTACACACAATCACTCCCATGATCAGCATTGGAGGGTTTGACAAACGAATCAGGGCACCACAACATGCGGTCCTCGATCTTCCGTAAGAAATTAAAACCAAACCACAACGGCGCGTAAAATTTGCCGCAAAGCCGCCCGCTTTACAACCGAAAAAGGACCAAACGCTCGACGAGCAGTCGGCGCTCATCAGAGCTCAGAAGGCGCTCAGAAGGCGCTGGTTACTTGAGTGACGTCGGTGTCATCTCCCCTCAGGGGGCGCGTCCGGTGGCCCCGCATCTCCACGCCTAGTCAGGAGTTGTCGTTGCTGCCGTCCAGGTTGTTCATGGAGGAGGCCTCGCGGGCGATGCTGCGCACACGGCTCGTGCTGGGTAGGTCCAGTCGGAAGTTGCGGCGGAAGCAGAATTCGCGGAAGCAGCGCTTGAAGTTCTCGTCGAGGAAGGCGTAGAGGAAGGGGTTCATGCTGCTGTTGACGTAGCCGAGGGCGATGCACACGTGCCAGCTGACCGTCACGACGGCGCTCTCGGGGATGCGCACGATGGCGCGGACGATGACGTACAGGTGGATAGGCGTCCAGCACACCACGAAGGCGGCCACCACGACGAGCACCATGCGTGTGATGCGCCGCATGGTGCGGTCCTTCTCCTTGGAGCCCGAGAGCACGCGCACGCTGCGCAGGCGCGTGATCATGAGGCCATAGCAGACGGTGATGACACACACGGGGATGAAGAAGGCGAACACGAACACGCACGTCTTCAGCATGTTGTCCCAGTAGATGGGGAACTCCAGCGTGCAGTCCACGTTGCCTGCGGCACGGGGAAATACGGGCAGTTCATCAGCGACGCAAGTGTGTGTCCTCTCTGAGAGGTGTGACAGCGCATCGAGTCCGTCGATTTGCAGAGGCGCTGAAGCTCACAATGCGCTAATGCGTCCAATCGGAAGAATTTGTATATTTTATGTCTGCAGCCACTAATGGAATAAATGCGGGATTATCCCCCAGTGGTGCAAACTTATCCATTGAATGATGTTGTAACACACCTTGAGTTAGATGCTGGGATATTGCAAATAGCAGATCATATAAACATCGCCAGTCAATAAGTCAAACTTGCTTAATTGGTGGGTAAAATGCTGCATAAATGGTATTTAATAAGGTTACAAAAATGACACCCCATTCATTGCAATTGGTGGTGCGGTCAAGAGGGTGTTCTCAAGACAAACATACACACGAGCTGAATATTATTATTATTATCATATAGATGCAGCGATGTGAACCCACAAAAACAATGAAAGTAAAAAGAGTTGCGCACCGTTCTTATCCTGCTTGGTCACCGCAATGATCATGACGGGCAGGCCGATGGCAGATGACAGCGACCAGATGCAGATATTAACGAGCTTGGCCTTGACGGGCGTTCGGAAATCCAGCGCCCTCACCGGGTGGCACACGGCGATGTATCGGTCGATGCTCATCATGGTGAGCGTGAAGATGCTCGTGAACATGTTATAATAGTCTATGGAGATGATGAGCTTGCAGAGGACGCGACCGAAGGGCCATGTGCTCATGAAGTAGTTGACAATCTGGAAGGGCAGGGTGCTGGTGGCCAGCGTGTCGGCCAGAGCCAGGTTGAAGATATAAATGTTGGTGGCGGTTTTCATCTTGGTGTACCTGCAGACGAGATATAGCCAGAGTGAAAGAACAGCGAAACAGTCAACATATGCTACACTAAATTCTTGGTTCTTTCGGTAAAGTAACGTAGAAGGGAAATAATAAAATAATAACAATATAAAACAATAATATCATCACGACGTTTCGACTGCAACACAAGCAATCATCAGGTGTGAAAACCACAACAAGAAAATTTGAAAAAAGTGGCGGTTTTTTTCTTAACGTTAGCACCACGGACAGCGATTTGGCAGTTTGTTCAGATGGACGAGTCCATCTATGTTCGGAAAAGAGGAGGGGAGAGACAAAAATAATGGATGTGGTCTGAAAGCCACTGTAAGCGTGAACAATCACTTAAGACCCGAAATGGTTTATCAAATCCTTCCAATGATTACTAAGCCAGAATCCATTTTCTCGGCTGAAATTGTCTCTGTGTTTATATATGTGGATAGCCTCATGAACGAATCTCTCATGGTAGCCAGATAGCTTGCAGAGAACCTCTGTCTTGGAGAAGTCAATGTCATGTTCGCCTACTGAATTATAACAGTGATCTGCCACGGCTGAGGTGTTGGTCCTACCGTGTTTAAGGTCTGCTTTGTGTTCACGGATGCTGTCCGATACATGTCGTTTGGTTTCTCCACTGTAACTACTACCACAGAGGCAACTTAGTTTGTAGACGCCAGGGTACTGTATGTCCGGAATCACATCTTTTACAGACGGAACCAGATCACGGATTTTATGTAATGTGTTGAATCCGACCTGGATCTTGTGTTTATTCAAGATTTTGGAGATATTTTTTGTGATCCCTGCAATGTAGGGTAAAGTGATGGTTTTGAAAGGCTCCTGAAGAGGGTCCTTCTTCATGGTTGGAGTGATAGCTTTGCGGATTGTGTAGTCGGAGTAACCATTAGCCTTAAGAGCTTGGTGTACGTGCTTGAGATCACTGGCTATGTGTTCCTGGTCGGATATGCATTGGGCTCTATGGTGCAGAGTCTAGATGAGGGAATTCTTCTGGGATGGATGGTGGTGAGAATCTGGTTTCAGGTAAGCATCCGTATGGGTAGCTTTCCTGTAGACAGAGTGGCTCATTGAACCATCAGGTCTCTTTTTTATTGGAACATCCAATAAAGGTAGCTTGCCATCTTTTTCGACTTCCATGGTAAATCTGATGGCTGGGTGTATGGAATTGATGTGGTCGAGGAATTGGTCTAGAGCAGGCCGGCCATGTGGCCAGATGACAAAAGTGTCATCCACGTACCTCTTCCATAAGGTTGGGCGCAGAGTGGCAGTCTGGATGGGGTCAGTCTCAAATTTCTCCATGAAAATGTTGGCTACAACCGGAGATAGGGGGGAACCCATTGGGGTGCCCTTAGTTTGTTTGTAGAAAGTTCCATTCCAAGTGAAGTATGTATTGGTTAAGCAGTGTCTCACCAGGAGGGGTACCTCAGTGTTTAGTCCTTGATGAACCAAGTCTTCAATGATTGCGATGGTGTCAGGTACAGGAATTTTGGTGAATAAGGAAACTACATCAAAACTGACAAGCAGGTCGTCTGGGGACAGGGAAATACCCTTGATTGTCGATACCAGGTGAGTAGAATTTTGAACCGCAGAGGTGGCTTTTCCAGTGAAAGGCCGCAGGATTTCAGACAGAAAACGAGAGTTTGTAGGTGGGGGAGTTGATAGTAGAGACGATGGGACGAAGGGGTGTATCTACTTTATGTATTTTTGGTAATCTTGGTGGCCTGGCAGCAGAAGGTTTCAACGAAAACTGTTTGTTTTGATCAATTAATGTGGTTAAATCAGAAATGATTTTGTTTGTATGACGAGGCTTTACTGAAAGAACCAAGAATATAAATTACTGCAGTCACGAAAGCTTTAAATCAAAATATGCTACATTCTTAACAAAATATGTCACTTCGATGCTCCAATGCGTTACAGTCATAGCCGGTGCTTTATTTCGGCTGGAACAGACCGAAATGGTGTTCGGGAATTATGTTAGCACCAAGCGGCATCAATTTCGCCTTATTCGGTCCTACAGCTGTTCATCAGATTATAGGAATACAGTAAAGGTTGCAATAACATGGATTATACAGTGAGGGGAAAAAGTATTTGATCCCCTGCTGATTTTGTACGTTTGCCCACTGACAAAGAAATGATCAGTCTATAATTTTAATGGTAGGTTTATTTGAACAGTAAGAGCCAGAATAAGGACAAAAAAATCCAGAAAAACGCATGTCAAAAATGTTATAAATTGATTTGCATTTTAATGAGGGAAATAAGTATTTGACCCCTCTGCAAAACATGACTTAGTACCTGGTGGCAAAACCCTTGTTGCCAATCACAGAGGTCAGACGTTTCTTGTAGTTGGCCACCAGGTTTGCACACATCTCAGGAGGGATTTTGTCCCACTCCTCTTTGCAGATCTTCTCTAAGTCATTAAGACGTCGAGGCTGACGTTTGGCAACTCGAACCTTCAGCTCCCTCCACAGATTTTCTATGGGATTAAGGTCTGGAGACTGACTAGGCCACTCCAGGACCTTAATGTGCTTCTTCTTGAGCCACTCCTTTGTTGCCTTGGCCGTGTGTTTTGGGTCATTGTCATGCTGGAATACCCATCCACGACCAATTTTCAATGCCCTGGCTGAGGGAAGGAGGTTCTCACCCAAGATTTGACGGTACATGGCCCGTCCATCGTCCCTTTGATGCGGTGAAGTTGTCCTGTCCCCTTAGCAGAAAAACACCCCCAAAGCATAATGTTTCCACCTCCATGTTTGACGGTGGGGATGGTGTTCTTGGGGTCATATGCAGCATTCCTCCTCCTACAAACACGGCGAGTTGAGTTGATGCCAAAGAGCTTCATTTTGGTCTCATCTGACCACAACACTTTCACCCAGTTGTCCTCTGAATCATTCAGATGTTCATTGGCATGTATATGTGCTTTCTTGAGCAGGGGGACCTTGCGGGAGCTGCAGGATTTCAGTCCTTCACGGCGTAGTGTGTTACCAATTGTTTTCTTGGTAACTATGGTCCCACCTGCCTAAGATCATTGACAAGATCCTCCCGTGTAGTTCTGGGCTGATTCCTCACCGTTTTCATGATCATTGCAACTCCACGAGGTGAGAACTTGCATGGAGCCCCAGGCCGAGGGAGATTGACAGTTCTTTTGTGTTTCTTCCATTTGCGAATAATCGCACCAACTGTTGTCACCTTCTCACCAAGCTGCTTGGCAATGGTCTTGTAGCCCATTCCAGCCTTGTGTATGTCTACAATCTTGTTCCTGACATCCTTGGAGAGCTCTTTGGTCTTGGCCATGGTGGAGAGTTTGGAATATGATTGATTGATTGCTTCTGTGGGCAGGTGTCTTTTATACAGGTAACAAGCTGAGATTAGGAGCACTCCCTTTAAGAGTGTGCTCCTAATCTCAGCTCATTACCTGTATAAAAGACACCTGGGAGCCAGAAATCTTTATGATTGAGAGGGGGTCAAATACTTATTTCCCTCATTAAAATGCAAATCAATTTATAACATTTTTGACATGCGTTTTTCTGGATTTTTTTGTTGTTATGCTGTCTCTCACTGTTCAAATAAACCTACCATTAAAATGATAGACTGATCATTTCGTTGTCAGTTGCCAAACGTACAAAATCAGCAGGGGATCAAATACTTTTTTCCCTAACTGTAGGTGCACCTTGTGCTCTAGTGGTGGTGCCTTATGCTATTAAGCCCGACTGCATATCAGCCCAGCAGCTTTCCACAAATTATTGGGTGAGAAATTAATTCCTGATAATTAGAATAGCTTTTTATTTTCTTGGGAGGGCAAGGGTTTAGATTTGAGATTTAATGAACTTTGGTAGTATTTTAATTTATATATAAACAGTGGCTCATATTTTGATTTAAAGCTTTCGTGACTGCAGTAATTCATATTCTTAGTTTTTTCGGTAAAGTCACGTTGAAGAGAAACAACAAAATAACAAAATATATATAAAACAATAAAAAATTCTCACGACGTTTCGACCATAACTCAAACGGTCATCATCAGGTGTGTCGGTTTGCATAAATTTATTTTGAAAACGGCATATTTATTTATATATATAAAAATAACGTTTGCGTCACGCGCAACGATGGCAGTTTGCCAGGACTAGTCCATCTATTTTTTGAAAAGAGGAGGGGGGAGACGAAATTTGTTTTTATGTATGCTGTCTGAAAGGCACTGTAAGCGTGAACAATCAATCAAGAACTGAAATGATTTATCAAATCTTTCCAATGATTGCTAAGATAGAATCCATCTTCTCGGTTGAAATTGTCTCTGTGTTTGTATATGTGGATAGCCTCATGAACGAATCTCTCATGGAAGCCAGATGGCTTACAAAGAACCTCCGTCTTGGAAAAGTCAATGGCATGTGAGCCTACTGAATTAGAACAATGATCTGCTACGGCCGAGGTGTTGGTCCTACCGTGTCTCGGACCGCATTCGTGAACATAAAGCAGACCTTAAACACGGTAGGACCAACACCTCGGCCGTAGCAGATCATTGTTCTAATTCAGTAGGCTCACATGCCATTGACTTTTCCAAGACGGAGGTTCTTTGTAAGCCATCTGGCTTCCATGAGAGATTCGTTCATGAGGCTATCCACATATACAAACACAGAGACAATTTCAACCGAGAAGATGGATTCTATCTTAGCAATCATTGGAAAGATTTGATAAATCATTTCAGTTCTTGATTGATTGTTCACGCTTACAGTGCCTTTCAGACAGCATACATAAAAACAAATTTCGTCTCCCCCCTCCTCTTTTCAAAAAATAGATGGACTAGTCCTGGCAAACTGCCATCGTTGCGCGTGACGCAAACGTTATTTTTATATATATAAATAAATATGCCGTTTTCAAAATAAATTTATGCAAACCGACACACCTGATGATGACCGTTTGAGTTATGGTCGAAACGTCGTGAGAATTTTTTATTGTTTTATATATATTTTGTTATTTTGTTGTTTCTCTTC